TCCTCTAGTTCCTAAATGTTTCCTCCCCACTCCCATTACCATGACTCGAATTCGACCTTGCAAGTCTGGCTAGACCAGAGGAGGTACACTGATACAGATAGGAACTGAAAATACAGGGAATCCAGGACGGATGAGCCCTACAGGACCAGTGGTGTGAGTGGCGAAACAGGGAGGCTAAAGGGAGAATGGGTAGGAAAGGGGGAACTGATTACAAGAAACTATATGTGACCTCCTCCCTGGGGGACAAGACAACCGAAAAGTGGGTGAAGGGAGACATCAGACAGGGCAAGATATGTAGAACTTTTTTTTTTGTAGAATGTACCCTTTTTATAGGACTATCAAGAATAATTGATATTTTTCTCCTGCAGTTGAAAGTATTTTTAAAAGGTCTTCTGGAGAGATGCTTTAAAAGAAAGGCCTCATTCTCTGTATTTATGCTTACATATTAAATTCCAAGAATTTAAAGATTTTAAGACGTGCTTAAAATAAGACTATTCTTAAACGATTGTTGTGCTGAATTTTCTCTCGTTTGCAGGCGGAGACATACTACGCCTTGACACTCTTCTGGAGTGGTGGCGAGAAAAGAACGGTTCCTTCTGCTCCCGGCTGATTGTCGTGCTAGATAGTGAGAATGCCACACCATGGGTCAAAGAAGTGAGAAAAATTAATGACCAGTATATTGCGGTGCAAGGAGCAGAGATGGCAAAGACAGTGGATATTGAAGAAGCTGACCCGCCACAGCTAGGTGACTTCACGAGAGACTGGGTAGAATATAACTGTAACCCCAACCATAGTATCTGCTGGACTGACAAAGGACGCACCGTGAGGGCGGTCTATGGCGTTTCCAAGCGGTGGAGTGACTACACTCTGCATTTGCCAACAGGAAGCGATGTGGCCAAGCACTGGATGTTACACTTTCCCCGGATCACATATCCCCTAGTGCATTTGGCAAATTGGTTGTGCGGCCTGAACCTTTTTTGGATCTGCAAGACTTGTTTTAGGTGCTTGAAAAGATTAAAAATGAGTTGGTTTCTTCCTACTGTGCTGGACACAGGACAAGGCTTTAAGCTCGTCAAATCATAATTTGGAGGCCCAAGTGGAATATTCCTGAGACTTCCTCCTATCGTTTATCACTCACTTGCCATTTTTTTATATGCTATATTCTTATTTGTGAAAACTACCCTACTTCTGTAGCACCTCTCACTCTCTTCTCAAGTAATTATGGTATCTGAAAGGTTTGGGGAATAAGCACTGCTTTATACTAAAAATGTTAGAAGTTTTAAATGCTGAATCTGTGTAAATGCAGAAAAGATGTTTAAAATGACAATGCACTTTGACACGTTTGCTTATGTTTCAGATTAGAAACAAAATAGTCCTTTATGTTCTGCACTGACCAATGAAGAATTACTATTGCCTTATATTTTTTGGCATACATTAGAAATGTAGAGGAGACAATTTGTGTACTATTTTGAGAAAAATCACCAGTTTGCTTACTGAAGATTCTATTTTGTGAACAGTGAGTTGAGTGCAACACCATTTGAAGAGCTACAGACCGTTTTCCTGAGAACGGGAGGGGGAATAAAACCAGGTTTCCCAGAAGGAATGCATGATCGTTTTATAGGCAACCACATTCGGGTGTCTTGCTTGTGAGATGTTACAAATACAGCAGGGAAGCCTGAATGATTTTGGTAGGTCAGGACTTTTTTTTTTAATGTAAGTAACTGTCCGGGGCTGAGCCTGTCCTCTGCGCCTTCATGCATTGCTGGGCCTCCAAAAGCACTGGCCATTTAGAGCCTTTCTCAGGGCGCTTCAGTATCTTCCTAAAGAAAAATGCTTCCAACTACAGAATCTTTCCAAATAAACATTCTGCCTTCTCAAAGAGTACTCTTAGAAAAGATATTTAGGGGCATCTCACGGACTCAGGCAATTTCAAGTATTCAGGAAGGATTTTGATCTTTAAGAGTTAAGCTCTTGTATCAAAATTATGTTTTCAAAATCTGTTAGTGAGAACATTTATTCTATTTAAGATCAAAGAATAGGAAACAAGTTGGTTTTTCCCTCTTGTACCTGTATTATGGTAAACAACAACAACCCAACCCCCCCCTCCCAAAAAAAAACAGCATTTGGTGTTAGCAATTTTAGTTAAGCAGAATGGTGTGGTTGTAATTTTTAAAACTTAACTCAGTGTTTTGTCTGATTAAAACTCCTAAGAAGTTATTCACCTTCTATTCCTTTTCTCCTTTGATGCTAGACTTTCACCTTTGAGAAATACATGCAGAATGGAATTAATTGGGGGAACATTCTAATCTTTGTTGTTCAAACAGTGTGACTTGTTACCATTGAAGCCATTTTTCCAGCCTCAGAGAGAGGTCGGCGAGCCTCCCCATTTCACACCTGGTCTCTTGAAAAGGACAGGTTCCTTAGGACGAGGCTGCTTAGCATCAGCGAACTCGCACACCACTATCTATGCAGCAGTGCTATAGTCTGATGAATCTTAGGTTTTGAATACGACTTTCCTAGATTTTTGAATAGAATTTTGGTAAATATCCATTGTGCATCTAAAGTGCAAATAATAGTTACTGAACATTTTAGTATATTAACAATGATATTCATTAAAAAATGCCTTTTTAAAAAAATGCCTTTGTTGTACAAAAAAAAAGGTTGATGCGTGCTGGCATGTAGAAAAGTTCCTGTGTTCTGGTTAAGTATTTATGTCAACATCATCCAAAGACACAAACTAGGGCAAAAGCTAAGTGTTAACATTATAATCTTACAGCTCCAAAGAGAGTTAAACTTCTATTAAGTAAAACCTCTTAAATTTCTTCCTAGGCCAATTTTGAGGAAATTAGCTTTAAAGGTATGCATACCCCTTTACTCTAAGAAAGCCAAATATAAAAGCAAAGTCTACATTCTTTATGAAGTAGTATTAACAAGTTGGTACTAAAAAATCACATTTCAAAAAGGTAGCATACAATTTTAGGTAACCTTTTATTACATATTTTCTGTGAACGTACAACCAAAACAGGTTCTTAGGCTAGAAATGTAACTTGAGTCAATTTATTAGCCAAGAAGTTACACAGTATCCATTTTGATGAACTGTATAAAAACTTAACATTTTTTAAACATTTTTCCCATCATGAGGATGGGAAAGCTCACTGGAGGAAGGTTTCTTAAAACTTCCCAATTAAAAAATGTTAGCAAAAGTAATTGATGGGGTGGAGAAGGGAAACTACTTTATCTAAAGAAGTGATTGGTTAATTTCACCTAAAGATTAAAAGTAGGTCTGATCATTGAAGTGACAAATTTTCCCATGGCTGTCATTTCACACGTCATATTTAGGAAGGAGTTATTTGGAGAGGACTTTTTTTTTTTAATTTATGCTTTCACTAAGAACTAAGTAACATGGAGAGATTTTCAACACAATGTTGGCTTAACTTATTTATTTATATGTTATTTTGCTAAAACCACGAATGCACTAACCCCTAAAAACACCTTTTGTGAAACGTATACCTACCCCATGAAGTAATAACTGAAGGAAACAATTTCTTTCCCTTATTACGACTTTTCAGTTACACCTTCACTTCGTTCAAAGTTTATTTTGCTCTGACTTAAACTCTTCCTCCCTGGCTTACTTGGGTTTATTTGTTGCATAGCTTGGTATTTGGCTATTCTTGATAAATACAGAATTCTATGGAAAAATACCTTTTTCAAAGGACAGTTTTTATGACCAGTGTTTTCATAAGTTGTACGCTTTTAAAAAGAATTAAAATGCATTTATACTTAATGCATTAGTGGATAGATTTTTGCTTTAAGATCTCCATTAGAATCTACTTGTAACTATGTATATCTTGTTTGTAACTTTTTGCTTAATATATTATGTTGCTGTTTGAGGTACTGTCTTATGGTATTCTTTCACATTTAGGGCTTAGTCTCTTTTTAAGTAATGTCCTACTTTACCTTTCCACAGGTGATGTGATAGTTAATGTATGTATCACAGAAGGAAATGGTTTACTATTAAGAATGTGAATAAGTATACTTGATACTAAATGCTCAAAGGAGTTATATCTGCAAGTACTTCTGAATGCCTCCTGTATGGTACGCTACTAGACATTTGGGGCCTAGGGTTACACATTTTATTACTTCTGGCTCATGATTACCCAGAAGAATGCCTTGCTGATATGTAGGAGGCATTTATTAATTATATTTGACTAAGTGAATAAATTTAGAATCCTGTAAAGTGAGAACAATTTGATTGTAGATTTTTCCATTTTCTTTACACTATTTGTTAAATAGATTGATGTCCTCATTAAGCATGCAATTTAACAAAGACAATTACCACTGTCAAAACACAAAACCATTGCCATCACATGACCTCCAACTCATAGCGACCCTGTGCAGGGTTTCCAGGACTGTAAATCTTTATGGAGCAGACAGCCTTGTGTTACTCTTACAGAGTGGCCAGTGTGTTTGAACCTTCACGGTTAGCAGCCAACTAACCGCCTAGCCCACAGCACCACCAGACTTCTTGACAGAACCAGTGCATGCAAAAACAGCACATCTCTTATTCGTAGTGAAAGAATTATAAAGTTCCATATTACAAAGCCAAATTAGTTGCCATTGAATCACTTCTCCCTCATACCAAACCTATAGGACAGAGTAGGACTGCCCCACCGTGGTCCCTAGACTGGAATCTGTAGGAGCTTGTGGCCAGGACTTCTGCAGAGCCGCTCATAGGCCTGAACCACCATGTGTGTTTCTGGTTAGCAACCACGTGCTTAACCATTGCGTTGCCAGGGTTCCTTATATCAGGATTGATTTGAGTGAAAATATAGCTGATGTTACCCTTTAAAAAAAAAAAAAAGGCTTTCTTTGGGTGAGTCTATAGATTGTCATTCTCATTCTGACCTTTATGTGATTCAGATCGAATCTTTCATTCATCTCCCCACTATTAGAAGCATCCAGATGGACTGGAGATTTTGCAAAAATAAAAATTATCTAAAAATGTCTGACTCATGAACAAAGGAGTTTAGCTACAAATTTCAGTGACAGCCAAACTGTGAAGTCAGATGACTAGACTCCTATGCCTACGTGGGTTAAGGACACGCTAATAAAGCTTGCATCTTACGTTCTGCTAGTCTCGTGTGTTCACCGGAGGTAATGGGAAAGTTTGAATCTGAGCTACTGAGTAGTATTGCTTTGGGTAATCGTTTTATTGATTTAAGAAGTTCTTATTTCTATTCATCAGGTAGTGGTATTACAAAGCTGATTAGTATAATTTACAATACACAATTTTTTTTAATGTCTAGGAAAGCCATTTTGCTTGATTAACAAAACAAAACAAAACACAAAATTCATCAAATTGACCCATCATCTTGTACGTTGCCCATGTAGTACTTTGGGTTATAAACCTAAGTAATTAGAAGAAATGCATAGTTTTGGCAAACTTTGGTTTCTTTGTTTTGGGGACCTGTTTATCCCAAATCATTTTTTTTTTTTAGCAGTGTGTCAGGGATGAGAGAGAAACGTGGCTTATCTTTGTACCAGCAATGTTTACTCCATCTTAAGTAAAAGTATTTTTATATTAAAATACATACCAATGTATTGAGTACTATGCAAAAATTGTGTTGATTTTTAATATAAACCACAAGAATTCACAGCAATTTTCATCTTGCAGTGAGTTATTTCTCTTTTCTTCTCACCCTAAAATGCTTCCGATCATTTGGACAAAGTTCGGTTATTAATGACGTGTCATGTGGTACCCTTTTAAAAAGTACATTTTATGGTTTGGAATGCAGAGAGCACAAATTTTCACTAAACACTCTTTATATGTATATGGAAGTATATTTGGGCACCATTTTAATGTGATTTTATAATGATATTTGTAGGTTCTTGGAAGTCCTTATACATACTGATTTCTCATTCTAAGAAACTGGGTGTCTGTTAAGGAACATAGGATGGGGATTTAATTTGTAATCCTCTATCCATAGACTTTCCTTTCTTCTGTACCTGACAGAGGTACTGTTCTTCCTGTCTGACACCTCTGGGTCCCTTTCTTCCTTTCCACACAAGACAGCTCGTTAATAACAATAAAAGTGGCAATGACGATCATATTGAGTGTTTACTATGTTCTATCTAGGCTCTGTGCTAAGAACTTCAATTGGATCATCACAACCACCTTTTAATAAGAGCCCTTCATGGAATAAGGCAGCAGGCAGTGAAAATAGGAACTTTCTTAAAGTTAAACAGCTGTGTGTAAGAAATTGGGTTCCCAACTGGGCTGATTCCAAATGTAGTCATGACCTTCCAATCAATTCCTTAACTTCGATGCTCCCACAGGCACTTTCCCTGAGGAACAGAGTATGAACGTCCTCAAGATTTTTCAGTAGTAAAGAAATTCCCCTTCAATCCCAAATGAGATCTTTACCTTTTTGGTTCAGTCTTCATCGGAGACTGAGCCCCTTTTCCTTGTGTTATTTGTAGGGCAGCGACGAGTGGGGATCTGCATGGTGGCACTGAAAAGTACGATTTCTCAGCTTCAGCGACACTCTGGGTTCTACCCACAGCTCTCCACCGGACATCCTGCTCAAATCACCAGTGACTTCCCTATTGTCAAATGGATATTGATTTGGTCTCCGGGATATTTATTAGCACCTACCTCCATTTTTCTCTCTTTCATTTCTGTCTTGCTCTTGGTTTTCAAACTCTTGGTCACCAAACTATTGGTTTCCCTGCTATTTCTCCAGACACGCCTGCCTTTGCTATTCCTTCTTTCTCCACTTCATTTGTTTCCTCATACCACACAATCCCCAGACTCTGCTCATTCCCTTATAAGCATTCAGCACCCTCCTCCACTCCCGAGCTTCCCGGGACATTCACTGGTTATTCTCAAATCTCCGTCTCTGGGCAGACATCTCTGGCTCTCCAGGTACAGGTGCTCAGTTACATACTGAGCAACTCCACGTGAGTGTTTTGCAGGCTCCTCAGACTTACAAGTCCTAGAGAGTGCCCCAATATTGTACCCTCCAGTGCCTTCAATCTTGACCGCCTCTTTCATATGTAACCAGTCATGTGTGAGACTAACCTCTTGCCAACTCAGATTCTAATATATAACAATCCTTTAACTCCATTCGCACTGCCTTTTATAGCCTCTTAACTGGTCCCTTTCTCCTGTCTCAACCCTAAGCTGATAATCATAACTTTGAACTGGATAACATGTTTCCTCTTACAGAATGTTTTGTTCAGATTATACATACATGTAACCTGAACATACACATCGAAAACAAATGTGCTAAACTCGGCCTGTAGTCCTGTGCACAGCTATTAGGCGAGTCCATGGACAGTTAATCATGCGGGGCTGGTGAGCATGTATAATGGCCACTCACCCTATATTTGCCCACATTATAGTCCACACTGCGTACACATGGCTTTTCTGCTTGGGCCGCCATTGAAGTCTATTTCTTATTAAAAGTCAAATTTTCATTTCTGAAATGATCCATACTAGAAAACAATTTAATTACATTAGAAGACATTGTAATTTGAAAATCCATCTCCAGCCAAGATTGGTGCTAAATAAAATCTAATGTATGCCAATGCATATCAAACCTCCTAATCAATTCTTTTTAATGACTGTCCAGGAAGAACCTGGAACTGGCTATTAGTCTTCACACAGCCACAGTTATCTTCTAGCCACAGTGCTTTTAAAAATATGTTCAATCCAGTTTTATACTCTCAGAAATGAAGATGATATCATCTGTTTACCACAAAATTAGAATTTTATCCAAACTGTTAAAAAGGAGGAATGTAGCTGCTTATTTTCTAGGTACATTCACTTTTCTTTCTTTTACCTTTGCACTTGCAAATGCCTTCAATGCTGAAGTGACTTCATTGCTGTCACAAGGCCCAAGACCATTACAAAAGAGCAAGTCAGAGAAAAAGAAAAATCACTAAAAACGATAAATGGTGGCACACAGACCCTTCAGCCCTGTTTCTAAGGGATAATCCCATGCGATAGATGAAAATTTAGCAGAAAACATGAACTGCCTCATTAACTTTATACCCAAGTTCTATCAGTGATTGATTTTTAATGTCTATGTTCATCCATGAGCTACTAGTATTCTTTATATACATTTTAAATTAAGCTTTTTAAGTTGAGCTAGTTGTATCATGAAGCTCACTGTATCATCTATATAAAGCATCTCAAAGGATAATTCACAAAGAAAGAACAGAAAGCGGACAAGCTACAGTATTGTTTTGTGATGCAAATGACTAATTATTAAGTGTCAAACGTGACAGCTCTAATTGCCACTCTATTTGAAATTGCCAATCTATCACAAAGCCTGCTTTTGAAAAATGCAGATAACACTGCTTTCTTTTATTGTATTTCCATACTATCTTTCAGCCAAGGTCCCTCCAAACACCAAGTGGGGCCATCTGCATCGCAATATATTTATGATTGATAGAGAGATAGAGATTTGGAAATTGCTGCATTGCAAACAAGCAAGTAACCGAGAGCAAAATACATTAGTTTTCAGTGTGGATTCTAGAAATGCCAATTTCAAAGATAACAGTGAACAATTCATTGAGCCTTATAGAGTTTCCTGGAATTATTCGTTCTTTTTTTAAATAGGAAATAATTTCCACAGACTGAATCTGTGAAGAGACAGTGGTCAGTATCATCAATCAGAACAAAGCCAGGGTTCAACTATGAAAAAGAGCAACTACTGCTCATATCAAGTACAAGTTGAAGCTGAAGAGAAGTAAAGCAAGTCCACGAGAGCCAAAGTACCATCCTGAGTATATCCTACCTGGATTTAGAGATCATCTCAAGAACAGATTTGACACATGAAACACTACTGACCAAAGACCCAGGTATCAAGGACATCTCATATATGGGCAAAGCAAAGTCACTAATGAGACAAGGAAGAAAGAAAACCAGAACATATCGTAGACGAGACTGAACTTGCCCTTGAATGCAATGTCGTTAAAGTGAACTGAAGAGAGGATGACTCAAAGGAGCTGAGTAGAAGGATTCAGAAAGTGGCTAGAAAATACCAAGTAACATAATGAAATATGCAAAGGCCTAGAGTTAGACTATCAAAAGGGAAGAATATGCTTGGGATTTCTTAAGCAGAAGAAAAAAATTTTGATGTCTCAAGTTGAGATATTTAAGTATTCTATGAGCAACATAGTGAACAATGCAGGACAGATATCAAGAAAATGGGAGGACTACACAGAATCACTGTGTCAAAATAATTTGTCGATGTTAAGAATTAGTATATGATCAAGAACCAATTGTATTGAAGGAAGAAGACCGAAAAATACCAAACCAAACTCAATGCCATTGAGTCCATGCTGACTCAGAGACTATAGGGCAGAGTAGAACTTCCCTGTGAGTTTCCCAGACTGCAATTCTGTATAGGTGTGGAAAGCACTAAAGATATTGGAGATAAGACTCTAGGGACTGATGGATTACCAACTTAAAAATTCAACAAATGGATACAATACTGAAAGTGTTTACTTATCTATGCCACGAAATATGGAAGACTTGGCCAACTGACTGGAGGAGAGCTATACTTGTACCCATTCCACCGACACGCACAAAAGGAAAGCATAAATTATCAAACAATCATTAATATCACACGTAAGTAAGACCTTGCTGAAGATAATTAACAACTAGTTTCACAGGGTCTGAGTCATATTGACACAGCTGCCAGAAATTCAAGCTGGATTCAGAAGGCTTCTTATAACAACAACCCTCATTGCTGATGTCAGAGGGAGTTTTGCTGAAATCAGGCAACACTGGAAAGATGCTGACTTGTGTTTTATTTATTGACTGTGCAAAGGTATTAGGCTATGTAGATCATAACAAATTATGGCTAGCATTGAGAAGAATGAGAATTCCAAAACACTACTGCTCATAGAAAAGCAGTACGTGCGGGACCAACAGGCAGCATTTGTTATGAGGCTGGAGCAGGACCGGCTGCTCTCTGCTCTTGTGTACAGAGGGTCTCCGTGAGGCAGAGTTCAGGGAGGTTGTACGGTTTACAATCAGGAAAGGTGCTTATCGGGTTGTACTCTTCCACCATATTTATTTCATTTGTATGCTGAGCAAATACTCTAAGAAGCTGGGTAAATAAAGAATGTGGCACCAGATTTGGAGGAAGACACATTAACTAAGTGCAATATAAAAATGACACACAAAACACCTACTGATGAAGTTACAAGGCTACAGGCTTCAGATTGAATTATACCTTAACAAAAGAAAACAGATTCTCACAGCTAGACCCATAGAAAACATCACGGCAAATGGAGAAAAGTTTGGAGTTGTCAAATATTTTATCTTCCTAGCATCCCTAATCAATACTCATAGAAATAGCTGTCAAACAACCAAATGATGGGAAAATCTGCTACCAAAGCCCTCTTTAAAGTGTCACACAGCAAAGATGTCACTTTGCAGACTAAGGTACACCTGACCCAAGCCATGGTATGTTTAATTGCCTCATATACCTTTGAAAGCTAGACAATGAATAAGGAAGATAAAAAAGAATTGCATTATGGTATTGGTGGAGAATATGCAAGGTACCATTAATTGCCAGAACGAACAAACAAACGTGTCCTGAGACAAGCAGAGCCAGAGTGCTCCTTAGAAGCCAGCGTGGTGAGACTTCACCTCATGTTCTTTGGCTATGTTAATAGTCCCTGGAGAGGAAAATTATGCTTGACGAAGCAGACTCAACAAAGGAAGCCCCTCAAGAGATGGATTCACCCACACACACACACACACACACACACACACACACACACACACACACGTGGCTGAAATAATGGGCTCAAACAACACCTGTGAGGCTGGTGCAGGACCAGGTGGGTCTTCGTGTTGTTCTGTACACAGGGTCTCTGTGAGTCAGAACCATCTCATTAGCATTTTAAGGACATCATGACTTTTTTTTTTAAGGCAAATGTGGAAAGTAAGACTTTAAAGATGGTTTTATAAACCTATTTATACTCAGTAGTGGGGCAAATCCATTAATGCTAATTTTGCCTTTCCTGGCATTAGGACTAAGTTAACCATGATTAGTCGATTTGAGAGATGATTTTGAATGTATAAGAG